ATTTTGCAACAATGTTCCCTTCTAAACAAATCGGTAGCGTGGAAATCATGACACAGCAGTCGGTGCGTTTGCAAGGTAAATCAGGCAAATGGCTTTAAAAGAATGTTTGCAGATTGCGTTTGTGTCAGGTTCAGTTTTTGTTGTCATCTCTGCCATGTCTGGATGTTGTGAAAAAAGCAGCCTATTGCAACATAACTAGCAGAATGGCTGCGGGCCTCTTCCTGTAAGTGGATTTTTGTCCTGTCTCTCTTTCTTTTATTTATTTTTTTAAGATAAGCGATGACGAAAGGCGCAGTTATTTTAAAAAAATGTAGGTTAAGCCGAGAGTACCCGAGTTTTTCAGTTGGTTGCCTAAAACCTCATCTCATCACCTTTGAAAGTGTCATTCCTTCATGTAGCAGCTTGTCATGTGCTGGGAGATTACATTGTCATTTGTGGAAACGGAACAATGAGCAGAGACAGGTGCACGAGCAAGACATTTATCGGGGTAGGAGGACAGTTCAGAGATAATAACAGCACAGCTTTGAGCTGGGGTATTAAAATATCTGGTGCTTTATAATTATAGAATAATCTGTTGCAATGGAGTCCTGCTCTGGGTGCTTTTCATGGCCAGGACTTTAAAAAATGCTGGCCCAATGAAAAACTGCACACTTTATTTATTGATAAAGACAATTCCCTGGGCCAGGTACCTAAAAAAGCTCTTAAGCCTAACAAGTGTGAGTGTTTGCTTTTGCCCGCATGAGACTCGTGCTTGCATGTCTACATGTATGAGTGTGATGTGGTGATGTCACAGCTTTGTTATAGGAACAGAGACGCTTTGTGTCCTCATGACTAATTCATGTCCAGCTGCGGGATAGAGACACAGGCAGCCAGTCACACACACAGACAGGAGCATGTACTTGAAGGAGGCAGAAATAAGTAGCTACCGGTCCGGTAGTCAAGGAGACAAGAGGGGACAGGTTGTCACAGAACTGGGTAGCCAAGGAGACGAGACGAAAAAAGCAGCAGGAAAAGAAAAAAAACAAAAAAAACAAACTGCCAGAGGGGGTTGTTATCATCCCCATCATCTGAGCCGTCAGACACGCTTTCAGGCTGTAGCAGGGAGGAGCGCAGCGTCCTGCTGGGAGCCGTGCATCTGCTGTGTGCCTCCTCTGCATCCTTCTCTGGCTACACTCTGAATGTCAAGCCCCGCTGAACAGAACAGGATCCAGGTCGTCATGGAGACAGGAGCAGACCCTTGCTGGAACAGAGGCAGGTTGTCAGTGTGGCTTGGCCGGCGGCTCACTGGAGAGGCGCGCCCTCTGCTGTCCGCCCATGGCAGCAGGCCGGTCAGCCGGTGTTTGGTGGAGCTGCCGGGGCTCTGGATGCTTTTTAAAAACGCCGTGGACACACTCTGCGCACGCTCCCAGCTCGGGGGAGCCTAACCTGCCCGCTGGAGTGATTTATTTCAAGACTGTGCTTTAGGCATGTTCTCTTTCTGTTAGAGGAGGCGGCGTGCATCCACCGTACATGATCTGAGCCAAGCAAAATGAGCGATTAGAGGATTTCTGCCCTTTTTTCATATCTTTTGTTAGTGTGTATGCTATTCCCAGCTCCGACCACGTGTGCTCCCTCCCTCTCCCTTCCTTTTCCCCACTCATGACATGAGCTCTTTCTCACATCAAGTGGATCTCTTTCAGCCATCTTCCAACATCCTTCTCTTCTTTTTTGCCCGACCTCCGGTACTTACTAGCACCTGCCACCGCTACTTTCCCTCTCTTTTGCTTTCCCCAGCCCTCATTCTCTGATCTCTGTCCTCTCTCCGCTTCAATCCCGGATAATTCCCTCTCTGTGGAATTGGAAGATTGGAGCAGGCGAGAGTAAAAGAGAGATTATACTGTCAGATTAGCAGACAGGAGCAGCAATACATAATCTCCACAGAGCCACACACACACATGTGCACACGCGGTGCCACATTCCATCTCGTGCAAACCCACACGTGCACAAAGCATTTGCCACATGAATAAACGCACAGGCGCATAATCGGACACACGTTATTTTTTTCCTGAAACAGCTGTTAAACCCCCTCTGCTGTGCCCTCTGACCCGCAGGGTGATGTGCCAACGGCCGACGGGGGGCATTTGTCCTCTCTGCAACCTGTTCGACCCCCTGAAGCTTATGGGATAGGAGAGTGTGTGCCCCCTTCCCGTCCCTGCGGTCCCACTGGAGTCATTTGTGCCAAAGCTGAGCTGTGAGGGAGAAGAGATGGGCAGCCCCGGCTGCGAGGTGGACGTCTCCCGGCCGGCCGAGCCGCCGGTGGAGCCCCTGTGTCCGGAGTGCGGGCAGATCCACCGCGGCTGGGAGAACCACCTCTACAACTACCGGCTGGAGGTGGACGACGACCTGGTGTGCCACATCTGCCTGCAGCCGCTGGTGCAGCCGCTGGACACGCCGTGCGGACACACCTTCTGCGCCCGCTGCCTGCGCAGCTTCCTGCAGGAGAGGGACTTCTGCCCGCTGGACCGGACCCGGCTGCAGCTGCAGGCCTGCCGCAGGTCCAGCATCCTGGTGCACAAGCTGCTGGACAAACTGTCGGTGTCCTGCCCCCTGAGTCCCGTCTGCGCTCTCAGCATGCCTCGATGCGACCTGGAGGCGCACCTCAAACACAGGTAATAAAGATGATTCATAGACTGCTAGACAAATGAATGCAGGAGAGCTGCGCGCTGCAACTTTATATCCGTTGCGGCCGAAGCCGGTGAGGCCATTAATAAAGACGTACGGCACTCGGTTTCTCATTACGCAAACCGTTGCTTTAAAAACTAGTAAATCCTCCCAAGTGGTTTGTTTCTCAACTGGGTCCATGGAAAAACTATATTCAATAGGTTATTTCAGATATTTGCCCACTGATTCTTAACGTTAAATGTCCCCCCCCCCCTCATCCACACTGTTTGGCTTTTGGCCCATTTGGACCAGGTGCTGTGGGACCCTGAGGGGATTATTGAGCTGCAGGTCATGTGACGGGAGATTAGTGGTTCCCTACCGCAGTCATGGGTTGGTTGATCGTAAGCTTCATGTTCTCATTCCACAATCATGCTGGGCAACTTCAACACCAGAGACCTTTTCAACCACTTCTTCTGTGAGACAGCCAAGGGCAACCCTGGCCTGTGGTGAGTGGACCGCAGCGGGACGCGAGGTCAGGTCAGAGGAGGACCAAAACGCCTTTTTCTCACTGCTTTCCCCCATTTTTGGCCGTTCGCTTTCTATCTTTCTTCATGTCAGCTATTCCGTCTTGCACTTAGATTTAAGTTGTGAACTTACCCACAGACTTTCTGTTCTACAGATCGCCCAGGTTTAGTTTTTGTGGTTGTGTGTATGCGGAAAACAGTCAAATAAACGCCTGCATCTGGCACTGCCGATATCATCAGTGTTATGGATCTGCCAGCAGACACCTTTATTGATGGATGGCTTCTTTTGCTTGGTGTTTTGATGTGGCTCATCGACTGACCACCATCAGCAGTGGCTATTTTCCCTAACGAGCTTAACAAACTGTCTGGACCCACCTGCTGGAAGCCTCTGTGAGTCAGCTGTTTTTACAGCTGCTGATTTTAAAGTCTTTAAATAAAGGTTGTGCCTTACATAAACCGTCCAACCTATGATGTAAGGCATCAGAAAACCTGCTTTCATTTGTCAGCAAAAGGCTTTTGCTAAACGATAGCCTGAAAACAACAAGGAAAGTCGCTCTCCCAACGTAGTAAGAGGCTAAAACTCCAGATTTCGCAGTAGCGTCCAATTAAAGCTCACTGTCATCTGTCCGTTTCCATCTGGACAAGGGTGCGTCTTAGCGAAGGTTGCACGCATCTTGATGTGGTTATCCTGAGAAGACGAGGGGAAACAATGCCGGAAAGATCAAAAGAGGACTGACGTGATATTCTTCAGCAAAGATATAAACCTCTGCTCCACGTGGGTCTACCGCTCCCCTGCCCGGCAGCTCTAAGACGCCAACAGGAGCCAAGAGTCTGCTGTCCCTGCGTGTGACATTGTCAGTTGCCATTGTTTATGTTGAGGATTACAGATTCGATGCTGGATATTAGATTAAAAGACAGGAGTGCCAGGACACAGTGTTCCACAGTGCAGTCAAGGTGGAATGGTTTATTATTGATAGGGCGCACAGTCTGTGGGAAAATGTACGGCCCCATTCCCCTCCCAAGTTTAACACATTTCAGACTGATCTTTAAAAGAATACAGACTATTTTTAACCCACAGTCCTGGTAAACAAAGTGTCCCGTGTTTTTTGAGGTGGAAACATGGGAACTGATGGAGGCTGGAGGAGCCGTCTCCGGTTCTTGTTTTGCCGGGTTCTGGTATGAACTCTGGCTGCATCAAAGCAGCTTTGACAGTTTTCCACAATCAATCCTGTTGTTTTCCTGGCAGCACGACTCACTTTGTTGTCACGTCGGCAATATGGAAAAAATTTTCACTCAGCATTTTCCTGGTCCGTTGTCGCTGTCTGCGTCACGGAAGAAACACAGAACACACAGCGATGCCGCCGGCAGCCTGTGAGATGGTGCCGGTACAGTCCCGCTCCGCTCCCGGTTGTTTTCTCACCATGTCCAGGAAACTTCCTTCGGCCTGTCACGTCTGTCTCTGTGGCTCAAACGCCTGATTGGTGAAATGCTGCACTGACAGCTGCCTTTTCTTGTATTCCTCCCCCAGATCAGTCTCTCAGTTTGAATTTAAGAAATATCTTGGATTGGTTTTCACTCTGAACTTTACCAGCTGCAAAGCCGAATATAAAGGACTATGCCTTACTCCATTCAGCAAGATCAGATAAGCTCAGCTGGACTCCACTATTAAAGTTAGATCATATCTTTAAGGATATTATATAATAATAACTTCAAAGAGCGACAAGAAAGGTTGTAACTACTTCATGAAATTGAAGTGCGTATTTTTAGATGTCTCTATTTATGGGTTAGCTTTGATTCTTAGCCCTCCTGCAGACTTTTCATTTTGAGGTAAAGAATAGTTGGAAGAGACTGAACTTAATAGAATCTTTGTTGCGTGATTATACAGAGAATTTATACTATTTGTAAAATAAAAACTGCATTGTGATGTGATTTTCACCCTTAGGCATTACTGTATTTTTCCATATTTCTGAAATCTTACGTCTTTATCTTTTGAAGGAAAGTGTCTGGGGTAGCTGATCTTTCTCAGCATTGTTGTTGGCTTAAAAAAAAGGAACTTCAGTCAATCAGGAAACATTTTCTCTTTCTCTCATTTTTTTAACCTAATCCTTTGAATTAATTTTCATGAAATAAAAAAAGACAAACTAACAACGCATGACATCAAAGTCAAAAGGAAGAGGCAGCGTTTAATACTGAGCTCATCTGGTGATTCAAAAGTTAACCTAAAGTCAGAGTTTTCTGCCTCTTGTGAGTCCCTCACATTATTTTGGTCCACAGTTTTTTCTTCATCACCGTCACAGTCAGTCTGATCCTTGTCTCCCTTTTCTTTTGGAGGTTTCAGCAGATACCAAAACAAACAAATTCCCTGATGGTCAAATCAGACGCTCTGAGCTAAACCTGTTTTTTTTTTATGTGTCGGATGGACTAACAAACTGACCCCTGTTGCTTGGTGAAAGGTGTCCTGGGACGCGGTGTCAGCAGACGAGCGTGGACGGGCCGCGGTGTGAGAGCGGGGATGAGCGCGCCATGGTGACCAGCCCCCCCAGGTCGCCGCTTTCTCCACAGACAGACCTGAGGGACTGTACGCCCTCGCCACATTCTGGACCCAATACCGCCTGTAGCAACGGACCTGTGTGGACAGACGACGCCGGCCTCGATAACCCGGCCTTTGAAGAAAGCACCGAAGAAGACAGTGAGTTGGGGTTTGCTCTCGGTGAAAAGATTTCCGCTGTGCATGAAGATGATAAGTCAGCTTCTATCTCCACATGTCCCCTCTGTCTGTAGGCGTGGTGGGGTTGGAGTGTGTTGTCCCCAGGGTAAAGCGGCCTCTCAGTAACCCTTGCATCCATCTTCTCCGCTCTGTTAGCTCCACCTCCTCTGGCTGGGACTGTCCCGAATCTCCACCTCTGTCTGCAGAGGAAGGTATGATGTCACGGCTTCATTTAACCCAGCATCCACCCAGAGCTCTGGACACAGGAGAGCTGAGACTCTGAAGGACACAAAGATCCTTGTGATTGCAAGAGATTGAATTAGAGAAAAAAAAGTGCCGCCCAGGCAGAATTGTGCTGGAGGATGGGGAAGTTACTGTTAGGAGGGCAGCTGTGTGATGCGGTCTGTTTGTCCATCAGGGTGTGTGAAGTTGCCCTCCCTTCCCGAAGGGGAGATAACTGCCATCGAGGTCCACCGAGCGAACCCCTACGTTGAGCTGGGGATCAGCATCGTTGGTGGAAATGAGACGCCTCTCATCAACATTGTGATTCAGGAAGTGTACAGAGACGGGGTCATCGCACGAGATGGAAGGCTCCTAGCGGGAGATCAGATTCTACAGGTGAGAGAATCTGGATCGTTCAGTGTTTTAACGTTAAAGATGTTTATCACTTTCAACCTTTATACATTTCTATTTTGAGGAAGGTTGTGGCGAATAATTCTGGATAATTTACAGCTTCACTGTGGCTTCATTTAAAGTTAGCTTATAGTGCAGCTGTGAGATTTTCTCTGTTGGTGTTTTCCATAAGGCAGAAATCCAAGATTCCCAAATACTGCTCAGAGGCCCACCTATCCCTGTTAGCAAATCTCACATTCTCTTTTGGATTTGTGTCAGGGGAGGAGGAGAGCCTTCTAGAAAATCCAGCTCGAGCTTGGATTGTCACAGGTGGTAGCAGACTACCAGCTTATCGCCATTTAAACCAGGTCAAGCAAGCTGGCCCAACTACTAAAAACAGCTAGAGCAGTGAGTGTCCTCTCAAGGTTTGACGGCCACACAGTTGACTCCTGCAGAGATCCCGAGAATCCGGATACTAATACTGAGAGCTTCCAAAAACGCACTCCGTTACCTTGAAAAACCTCACCTAGCCCAGCGGCCCATGAGCCCTGTGTGTCAGCGACCCATTCGTTCATTTAATCTGGACAGAAAAAGATTCTGCGCTCTCTTTGTGGCCCAACTTTTCCTCCTGAGAATTTGAATCTGTTTTTTTTTTTTTACTTTGGCCGCTTCACAACCGGAGGACGATGGCTTCCTGGTTTATCAAGTGTTTTTCATCCTATTAGCATATTTTCTCATCTATAAATTATCCACAACTTTGTTAACTATCCACAGCAATACACTGGCTTTTTTGGGGGGGCGGGTGCTGTTAGAAAGAAATGGTTTTAGGTAGAATGCTGTGATAATCCCATATCTCTTTCCCAAGGTGAACAATGTGGACATCAGCAACGTGCCGCACAGTTTTGCTCGCTCCACCTTGGCCCGCCCCTGCACCACCCTGCAGCTGACTGTGCTCAGGGAGCGCCGCTGTTCCTCTCGGGCCCCTCCGTCCTCCTCCTCCTCCACCCCGGCTGTGCCCCACGCGCCCTGCTCCACCCCCGAGGGCGCCCCGTCCAGCCCGGCCACGCTGAGAATCACGCTGCACAAGCGAGACTCCAGCGAGCAGCTGGGCATCAAGCTGGTGCGGCGGACGGACGAGTCGGGGGTGTTCGTTCTGGACCTCCTGGAGGGGGGCCTGGCAGCCAAGGACGGCAGGCTGCGGGGGAACGACCGCGTGTTGGCGGTCAACGAGCAGGACCTGCGGCACGGCACGCCCGAGCAGGCCGCCCAGATCATACAGGTGCGGACGCGTGCCGTCGCCAAGACCGGATCGTTCTGGTCTCATCCAAGCTTCACCACCCATGACAAGCCTGTCTTTTCTAGGCCAGCGGAGAGAGAGTCCACCTGCTGATTGGCCGACCCAGAAAACCCACTCCTCCCCCGCCACCAAAATCAAGTTCCACCAGAGACCTCTACTGCCTTGACCACTTCCTGCCTAATCACAGCTCTACTCCGAGTCCTGTGCCCGTCCACCTGTCCCGAACCAGCACCCACAGAGTGAGGAGATGTGTGTGTGTGTCAGTGTGTGTCATATTGTATGTGGTTGTATTTCCCGTTCCATCTTTACCTGCAAAGGATGTTATAAAGGTTGCCCTTTTTTCTGTGACCCAGGACCTGTCCCAGTGCGTGACCTGTAAGGAAAAACATATCACTGTGAAGAAAGAGCCCCACGAGTCTCTGGGGATGACTGTGGCAGGAGGGCGGGGCAGTAAGAGTGGGGAGCTGCCCATTTTTGTTACGAGCGTCCAGCCCCACGGCTGCTTGTCACGGGACGGGAGAATCAAGAGAGGTGATCCCCTCCGTTCGGAACCACTGACAGCAGGATCGATTAGACGTGATCGGAGAGCGCTAAAGCTTTTTGCGTACCTCCCTCAGGTGACGTCCTGCTGAGTATCAACGGCGAGGACCTGACCTACCTGAGCCACAGCGAGGCTGTGGGCACCCTGAAGGCCAGCGCCGCCTCGCCCTCGGTTCAGCTGCGGGTGCTGGAGGTCAGCATGCTGGAGGAGCACGAGCAGGACGAGCTGCTGCCCCACACCCACGACAGCGACTTCGATGCCAACTGGTCCCCTTCGTGGGTCATGTGGCTGGGCCTGCCCAGGTGAGAACACGGAGAAAGGGTTTCACAGGGAAAATGCTCCAGCTCTGGATGCGAGTGTGTTGCTCAAACATTTAAACCCAGGATCTGAGGCAACGTTTATTGTATTAAGAGCTCTGAAACCTTAATCTAATACAGAAGCCCAAACCATGAGAAGCCGTGTCCCCACTCGCCGTTCTGCCCGTTTTCTTGCAGCTATCTGCACAGCAGCCATGAGATCGTGCTGCGAAGGAGCCACCCCGGAAGCTGGGGCTTCAGCATCGTCGGGGGTTACGAGGAGACTCACGGCAACCAGGCCTTCTTTATCAAAACCATCGTCCTTGGCACACCTGCGTACTATGACGGCCGCCTGAAGTGAGTGATTAGTTGTTCCCCGCATCACTATCAGTCACCTGTGTTGGCAGTCACATGGTAAAATAGCTGGCTGATGAACTGTGACCTCCAGGCCGTGATAGATGAGAACGGCATGATGGTAGAACACTGAGGCACAGAGCATTTACGTCTTTTCAGTGTTTATTAAGATGAATGCTTTATTTACTATCTAACTGGAACAACGGCATGATCTGGACAATCTGTTTAAACATGTGAGGATTTGCAATGGGATGCACAGCAGCTGTGAGTGCTCAGTGGGCAAAGATTAGCAGCACATGCTCCCTTATTTTTACACCAAGCTTCATAGGCTCAGCCTTTTTGCCGTGTCATCACCATCTTATCTCAAGCAGCCAACAGCTAATAAAATCTCATCCCTGCACATTAATAAAGCGCACATAAATAAAACAGATTAACATCTTTCGGAGGCGCTAAAACCTTTTCCTGCAGTCAAACTGGAGAGGGAAAATTGAATATTTACAAATACCAAACACGGTACCTTAAATCTTCCTATTGTGAAGCCTCCTCTCTGTACTTTCCCCCCATATTCTAAGATGGTAAATTAATGTTATGACGAGAAAACATTGTTTCCTCCTAATTTATTAGATTAGTGATAAATCTGCTCATGTGCTGATAAACACAAAAGCAGATTTATATACCTTGCGTTGTGGAGCTCCATTATATTAAAAGACTGTTAAAAGAGAGCTTTTGTCCAACTGTTCTATGACCTCTAGTTTTAAAAACTCCTCACTCACCTAACAAGATCCTCTTATTAACTCAGTTATTGGAAGCCAGCACCCTGTTACCTTGAACTGAGTTGATGTATTCTGTACTTTGACTACATTTAACACATGTAATGTCCTTCTAGGTGTGGTGACATGATAGTGGCGGTTAATGGCCTGTCGACGGCAGGAATGAGCCACACAGCATTGGTTCCCATGCTGAAAGAGCAGCGCAGCCGGGTGGCTTTGACTGTGGTCTCCTGGCCAGGTAGCCTTGTGTAGCCAGGACAAAAAATAAAAAATAAATCAGCAGGCTACACCCTCTGGAGTCCACGCAGAATGTTCTATATTGGGAACAACCTTGGCCAAAGTGAACTGGTACATGCTACTGTACATCGCTCCATACCGGGCTTAATCCAGGACCAAAAGCATTCAGAACTGTAGTAAACACAGCAGGAATAAGCCCATCCTGACCAGGCGGGAACTGATCCAGATTGTACCGCGTCACTCGACAGACTGCACCCACACAACACACTGCTGTGTTCATATGGTCATGTCTTCACTCCCACCAGGAGATTGATACCGCAACCGATAGCAGGCAATCTGTGCTGTATTCACCTTACGGGGCAGTTGCCGAATCCAGGGTTATATTCAGGTGGTGGCAACGTCTGCAGGTAGAGAATGTTTTTTTACAGGTGGTCTGATTCTCAAATCACTTTAAAAATCAAGATTGTCCTGCCACAGCGCTGCGTCCATCTGAATAAGCCACAGGCCTTATTAGAAACCGGCTGCATCCTGGGGGCTCAGCTGTCCTCATCACCATGACAACCAGCTGCCCCATCAGCTGGCATTTTATACATGTTTGAATGTGTTTCGTTTAATAAACAGAACAAAAAAAAAGCCGTCTCATTTTCCATTTTGCAAGAAAATTTGAAAATCAAATTTCCTTTACAGCAAAAAAATTTAAATAAATAAATAGAATATGTAGTGTTCCGTCTACGAACAGGCATCCTAAATATTTACAACTGCCAAAACTCCATATGATAAAAATACCAGATAAAAAAAAAGGCAGGGAACCAACTAATTGCCCAGCTGGGCTGACATGAAAATCATACCCAGTGTTAGACTTGAGTGCTTTACTTAATGTGGTTTATTCACACTTTTAAACAAAGTATAACAGAAAACTTTTCTCTTAAACACATCCAAGCCCACTGGTACAACCTTAGGACCTGTCATCCTGTAAAGCCGTCTTGCCCAGCTTTGCAGCGAGCTTGTTTGTCTCCTCCTGGCTGGCTGCTGTCGCCTTGCTCTGCTGCGCCACCCTCCAGGGCTGGTTGTTTTTAGGATGTCGTTTCTGGAAGGGGAGCATGGTTATGAAAGACTACATCCCACACAAGGACAGGACACCTCTAAATTTGGGGAGGGAAAAGACAAAACAAGTTTACCTTCAACTTCCTCTTTGATGGGTCATGCACCACTCCATGTCGCCACAGGCTTTCCTAACAAACGAGTTTCCACAGGAGCATTTTAACAGATTAAGCCATCAAAAGATATGAGGGAAAAAAAATAAATAAAAAACTTATGTTGGGTCTTTCCTGTACAAAACTACCTTTAGTCAGTCAAAAGCTTTCATCTGATCTAGTGAATGTTTAGTGTCTGATGTCACTAAGGCAACATCTACAACCAAAAATGTTCTTCAATTACTTTCCAATTCTGTTTTGCTCATCTTGGGGGAGCTTTTTAGCACGACTTATCTGGGATGTTACCTGGGTTCTTATTGGGAAATGCTAATCTCAGGCTCTACAACATTGGGATCAATACAAGGGTGCCCAGCTCCAAATAATGTGGTGTGGGTAAAGATGGATCCAAGTGCATTCCTCCAGAGTAGACAAGCTAGCTCAGCCTTTATGTAGCAAAACCAAGAAAACCACTACCACAAATAGTTCAGGAGTGGTTCTGTTTTTCCACGCATGCGACACCAATTATTGCCCCAGACTGCCTTTAGTTGCTCTGGTGGCAACCAAACTCATTACAGTTAAATCCTTCTCTGCCATGAGCCAATAAAAGCTTTTGTGTTTGACAAATTCTAGGAGATTAGTGTATGAAATTAACAGATTTTCACTCACCACTGTCACATTTAAAAGTCATTTAACTGAGGCAAATGCTGACCTTCATGGCGAAGCTCTTCCCACAGCCCGCATAGGCACAGCTGAAGGGTTTCTTCCCCTCATGGTCAGCCAGTACATGATTCTCCAAGTTGAAACGACAAGTGAACTTCTTATTGCAGCTTTCTCTGGGGCACGAAAACGACCTCTTGTCCCCAGAGTGGGCTCGCAGCTCGTGCAGGTGCAGGAACCATGCGTTGCTGAAGAGCTTTTCACAGTCGCCACACGGCACCTTGGCTGATAGGAAAGTTTTTCCAGGTGTGCCATCTCCGGTTCAGCATTTAATGTCTTTTTAAAAAAAAAAAAAAAATTTTAAGTGTATATTTTTACCTTTGTGTTCTCGTCTGTGTTTTACATATTCCGTCCATGTTTTCCCCTGGAAGGAACACAATTCAGTGTCACAAGGGTAGCCTGGAGAAGAGAAGCACTTAATTTGAACATTAAAGAGAGACACGTTCTTCTCATTCTGGCATCCAACCAACCTTTATGCACTTTCTCATGATGCTTCAGTTTTCCATTACTGGGAAACTCTCTGGTACATCCATTGAAAGAGCAGCTACACAGAAGAAAACAAAAAGATTGAGGTGCCAAGGACCATGAACTTGTTACTCACATGTGTTTTTCAGACACTCACTGAAAAGGCAAGCCCTGTTGGTGCTCGCACTTGTGGGCTTTCAGTTGGCACCTTTTGTTAAACTTCTTTCCACAGCCCTGATGGTCACACTGTAAACAAAACTATTTAGATGGAGAAAACAAAATCTGCATACCAGCAAACTGAACAAAAATAAGACACTGTGCAAGTAAAATGACAAACTTTTGTACTTCATATTGATTTTTCTGGTGGTCGTGGACTCGAGCCACGTGGTTCTTCAAGCTGGCATTTGTGACAAAGGCCTCGGAGCATCCAGTCACCTGACACCTGGAGAGCAGAGCAGGTAAAAGTACTTTTAAAATATATACACACACACCATTTTATTTATTTATTTTTTTTAAACAAAGATTTTGCCTTGCAATTTTCAATCATGGACGTGGTTGCTTACTTGTGTGGCTTCTCCCCACTATGACTCAGGTCATGTCTGCTGAGCTGATAGCGAGTGCAATAGCTTTTTTCACATTTCTCACAGGAAAATGGTTTCTGACACAAAGGAAACATGTTTCCAGCTTTTAGCTGCTGGCTAATTTCACGTGTTCATTTGGTACATGTTCATACTCCTGAGCTACTTACCAATCCTGTGTGTTTGCACAGATGAGCCTCTAGCTTCCAAGATTTAGTAAATGTCGATTTACAATCAAAAAAAGAGCAAACATAGCTTCTTTGACTGTGCAACCTCTCTCCCATCTTTGATAGAGATGTTAGATGTACTGTTGTGATCACAGCTTTAACTTGATGTAAACTGGCAGGACACAGAGTGACCCACAACCATCCCTTCACCTGTGTTTAATTTATCTTATTGGGACGTACCATTTCAGGGAAAGAGGGGTGTTGCCTTATGTAAAAGTAAAATAACTTTTTTAATATAACTACTGAAAGAGGGGAATCCCAAACTAAAATAAAGAAACCAATTCCTTTTTCTCAAGGATCTTTCACACTCGGGCATGAAGCATTGTGGGACATGAAATCCAACATGTTGAATGTAGAAAAAGGACTACACCTCCTTAGTTAAATAGTGATTTCACTGCTACCCAAACACTATAAAGTCTAGGGGTTTTCCTCCACTCTGATTGATGCAAGCTTTAAAAATGTCACCCGTCTGCCTGCAGGATGTACCGTATCAGCCGATCTGCTGTGTGGTCCACAGGCCGGGAGAGAGGCGGCTGAATGTCTCCTGTTATCAGACACACTGAATTTACTCCTCTAATCTTTACCTTATCAGTGCTCCAATAACGCTCTCTGATAGGTGTGATTTATTGTTAGAAGAGTGTTTTCAGTGGGAGCCTTTGTTACCCAAAAGAAAGAAACTGCGGCTTAAAACTGGAGTGTTTAACAGTGTGAGAATGAAATGACGTGTTCCATCAAATGTTACAAATTCAATTATGAAGATTTTTTGATAGCAAAGTATGAGGACAATCGGTTGGTCTGGTCTACATTTTTTATTTGAGATGTGAAAAATTTGTTCTCTCAGCATTTTAAAGTGACAGCTTTGAGACATTGTCTTTGCTAAAACTACCTTTCACTCTCAGCAGATCCTCACTCATGTCACTGTTTCCTTTGATGCTGAGATTAAATGCAACAGTGACTTATTCCTGGGCCCATTGACACTGCATCTTTTCCACTCAAATAGAAAAGCTGGAGAGCACAAATTACATTGATGACTATCAGCACTTTCAGTTGTTTCTATTTTTCAAGCTCAACTCCGGACCACGGTCTGAATGATTCCTTGAGTCCCAGTGCCTGTGCTCAAAGTAATCCTGTCCACTTGTTCATAAAAGTGCTTAATGTATTCACCGTTTGTAAAATTCAGACTCCACAGTCAACGTCTAGGGGATGCATTGCCTCTTTATGAATTCATTGTTCATTGACTCAAAAAGTTGAAAAAACTTGAGCCTGGAATTCTAGGGGCTTGAAATGAGTCACAGACAATCAAATGCCACTATCTGCTTGTCTAAACATTACAGATCACCCTCTGCCTCCATGTCCTGCTCTCATGTGAAACCTTTGACTGACTTTTGTGAATGAGGCCTATTGAGAGCCTGTTGGGCGTTACCTCATTGCCCTCCCACGCTTCAGGTGAGCATGCCCGGGTCAGTTGACACCGTCGTTGACCTTCTCCTCCCGTCATCCAGCCCCCTCTCACCACGTCCCCCCTCCACCTCTGCATGAGCTGTCAGGGGTGGGATCAATACAGCTGGTCCCAGATCCACACGTAACACCCTGCTTCCACCTGGCTGTCCCTGATAAGCAGGCTGACTCTCCCCCTGCATATTGTGAAACCAGATTTGCTCTGCTTGTCTTGGATTTAGTAAAAACTTGGGGAGCGTGAGAAATTGGGAGGCCTTAGAGAGACATAAGGAGATTGTCTGTACAGTACGAACTTTGGAAATGTAATGTATATTCGTCACCGAAAAGTGATAAAAGAGGTCAGTCCCATTAGCAGTTTGCTGTGTTTTAAATTAGAGACCACGAACAATCGTACTGTCTCTCCTTCCAGAAAGAATCCTCATGTTGCTCCCATTTTAATCGACTCTGCCGCTACTTCATGCAGGGGCTCATAGTGTTATGGGACTGTAAATAAAGCGGACTCCAAGTCAGGATTCTCATAAAGTTTTATCTCAAACCCGAGGCGCAGAGACTAAAAGTCTCACTCAGAGTGATTTAGCTAATGTGTGCAGGCTGGTAATTGTGAAATGTCATATCTGCATATCTCTGTGTGCAGCAGTGCCACACAAAGCTCTTGTCTGTGTTCACGTCCAATTATCTACTGTTTGTGTGCGTGCGAGTGTGTGGGGTTAATAAGTAACGCCCGGGTCGATGTGGCCGCTGCGAGCTGCTGCCTGGGCTGACAGACTCAATCTGTGGGTGTCAGACGTGTGTGATTAAGGAGTTCATAGTGCTCCACGGCTTTTATCCACAAGCCAGGCCCTCTCTGCCCCCCCGCCCCCTCTTGCTTGCTTTCTCTCTCCTTTTATTTGCTTTTCGTTTCTTCAATCAGTAACTTTCATGGGTCGCGATGCAGTGGTGTGTCAGTGACACCGAGCACACACAAAGGCCTTACTGTAGATGTATGAAAATCACTGAGGGGAAAACACGCCAGCAATAGCCGAGGCTCAAACAGCCGGGCGCTACGTGTGGTGGAGGTGAGCAGTATGTAACGCTCAGGAAATCAAAGATAACGTTTCACTTATCTCGAATTCCCCCGAGCAAAAAACCAGACCCTGAGGTCAATACCAAGAGCTCTGACCGCCAACCTGCTCATTGATTGATTGCATTTTGTTTTTCCATCCGCTTCTCCGTCGGTTTTATCGCCTCAGCTTGTTGAACACTTATTACTCCGTCTTGATAAGACTGAATTCCCTGACCTCAGGCCAATGGAGGGGCAGATGGACAACTAGTGTTTGTTTACCTAAAAGAGGACTGTTGTTCCCAAGTAGATTACAAGAATGTTCTTTAAAAAAATTATTTCATCATCACTAACTTTTTTGTCCTGAGAAAATTAAGAGCCCAGAAATTAAATGAGAAGTCTTTTCGCTTTGCTGGTGTGCTTTTTCCTAAGATGCTGGCCTTATCTTTGCAAATGGGTCCTAATATGTGTAAATATTGGAAAAGTACTGAGGTGGGATGTGATAACCTATTTGTCACATAACCAGCCAGCCATTCAGCCTCCACAGATTAAACAGAACACGAGTAGTCGAGTAGTCAACACACACACACACACACGCACACAAAGGTATGATGATGCCCTAAAAAAAAAAATCCTCATTTTTTCTGCAGAATTAAAAGGGCCTTTCAACACTATATCATGCATATATATTCAGACATTAATTGTCACGGCATAGTTAAAATGAATGCTTGTGTTCAGATAGTTTTGACCTGGATATAATCAATGCAAAATTATTCTTTTCGATAACCACCTTAGTCTTTGTGTGTTTTATTCATATCACATACTCATAGTTTTTTTGTACCTTTTTGGCTCAAAAGAATTGAAGACATTTACTTCTTTGAATGTCCAATAACCTAATTAATATTCTAAATTGTGGCCTTTGAATTCTTCTCAATTGTAAAACTAGGTAATAGCAAAAATAATCTTATACGTGTAATAGAATTGAATAGAATACCATAAAAAAATGAGGATGAAGTGTGTATGAGACAAAACTGTCCAGTGGACGAGTAACTGCTGAACCGTCTGATGGAAAGACCATCATGTCTCACTAGGAAAATAATACAGTATGATTCATTATACCTGGGTATAGCTGCTTTAGAGCACAGCTCCACCTGTGACGGATGGGTTGGTGCACACTGCCCCCTACAGGACCACCACCACAAACCATGACATCATCTCATCACTGGAGACCTGTTACAGAACAGGTACGTTTTCCTGTGATTACATCTTTCAATTAAAAAAAAAACACGTTTGAATTGTGTCTAAATCTGTATGTTTGTCATTTGACCTGATGAGGTTCATAGGTTTCTGAAGCATGTTCAACTTTAAAGCCCTCGTTCAGGCAGACCGAAACATGAACAGGCCTGGTAGTTTGTTTCAAATCACATTCAGAACTTTTAACTGTGACCATGAAATAGAGGTTGTGCTAAGCAGCTGATACTTTTGTGGCCTTTCAAAGACCTCTCAAGTCAATGTGACCACATCAACAATAAGTAGTACCTTCCAAAATGTTTAATTCTGCAACATGGATGTTTTACTAACCGTGCCATTAGTCAGGGATCTGTGGATTTTGAAATACTTCCAACTCCCATAAATACTGATAACATGGTTTGTACACAGCTATAAGAAAGAAATTGACAATTTCCTTTGAATACATCTAATGGTAAATGAATTGCTCCAAAATGCAGATTTGTGCTTCCCCCTCCCCTCCATCCCAAAACATGTGAAATGCTTGTGTCACATGGGCCAGTCGCCCTCAGATCGCCGGTGAAATAAAGAGTGCTTTTGATTTCATTTTCAGCAATCAAAGGAGGACAATCATCACTGGGCAACGGCTCACTGCGACTACAAGACATTTATGTGGATGAGACAGAAAAAGGACCAGATGCATGTGTACAAATATCTTTATTGTCGAGCAGTTTATGCCATGAACTCGTAGGGGATGGGCTCCAGCAGCTGGGGCTCGTTTTTCTTGGTGCTGACAAAGTGAGCCTCACGTGGAGGAGCAGGCTGAGGAGGCAAAAAGTCCAGTTAAGAAAGGTAAACAGATAATTGGGCCATTATGTACCCAAAGTAACTTGCGGTCTAAGGAGGTCTTTGGGTTTAAATTTTTTACTCCATGGTTGAAAAGAGCCCAGCTCAGCGTAAACTCATCTAGTGCCCCGCAGCAACATGATGGGTTTAACTTACCTGGCGTTTGAGTTCGATCCAGGTGCCGTTTGCCTTAGCCTCCAGCTTCTTTGCCTCATTGGCTTTGACGCGCTGCAGGAAGCTGTCCCTGCTCTTTGAGTGCTTCACATGCTCAATGCGCACGTTAATCCTCTTGGCCAGAATCTTTCCTCTGCAAAAGGACAGGAGCAGAAAGCAATTTGTGTCATAAAAAAACTGAGCCAGTGGGTACAAAAGCTGTGTAACAGTCTTCATTCCTTTGCTGTTCCCTTGTGTTCACTCCAGATCTAAACAGGATGTTAGGCTGGAGCGTATAAGGAGGAGCTGCTTTACCCCACATGAATGACCACCAAGGACACAGGTTCCAGGTGGCAAAGTGAAGGTGGGGTTGTCAGATGGAGTGGGAAACCAAACAAAACAGTCATACCCAAATACAATTGTAAAGTAAAATATAATCTGAAAGTATACCAACCCTGACATTAAAATCAGTAGAAATAAACTGTATCAAGCAGACCATTATGGGGGTTAGTCAATCATTCACAGCGCTACCAAAACTATCAGTCTGACTGTAGCTACCCATCAAAACTGATGCATGACTTACTTTAATGTAGATCTTAAAGCATCACAATATGCTACCGTGTCCCAGCTAACAGGGATTTAATGACCCACATCGCAGAACTAATGCGTTCTACTTACTTGACCTGCTTGTTGACAATGATGCCGACAGCATGTTGGGTTACATTGTAGACACGTCCCGTCTTCCCATGGTAGCATTTATGAGGCATTCCTTTCTGAATGGTACCTGTGCCCTGGAGAGAAAACGCATCACAATGGCATAACACAAAACCACATAAACCATCACATCATCAGTAATATGACAACACATTTCCACTAACATCTGATCAGCATTAGCAGCTTAATGAGCACATAAAACTTCTTGTTTCCATAGTTCAGATTCCATTCACATTTATAAAGAAATGTTTTTAAAAGATGGTGTTATTCTTCTCACATTTTCAAGTGATTGTGTCTGCATACAATGAAGGCTTTATTAAGAAAGCGTAGTACAACAGACGTTCCGCTCTGACCCACCTTGATATCGACAATGTCTCCTTTCTTGTAGATGCGCATATATGTGGACAGGGGGATTGGGCCTGTAAAGTAAAAAAGGGTTCAACATGAGCTGTAGTGGGCAATTTAAACCCAGACATTGTACTTCCTAAAAAATGGGCAGTGTGTTTTAGACCAATGTTTGGTTATGCTGACATTAGATACATATAATAAAGAATGAGTGGCCAGGGGGCTGCATTAAGAATTATATCAAAATTTGGAGGAATGCAGTCTAAGTCCATGCCCCATATGTTCTGAACAATCAATGTTTGTAGACACTCACATTGTAGTTCATTCCCTACTTGTTACGGAAAAACAAATCAGACTCCTCTTCCAGACTGTCTACTCACCATGCTTGCGGAATGGCCTGCTGAACATATACCTGGTCCCCCTCCTCTTGCCTCTGGTGTTCGTCATGATGCCTGATTACTGAGGGCAGAAACACAAATAATTTCTATTACCGACATATTTTGGATTGCAAACATCTTAGTTTAGGAGAACATTTTCCGATTACCACACCGAATTACATTATTTTTACTTAATTTATCTATGAGTATTATTTGCCATAGCTCAACAGCTCCCTAATGATATGGCTATCTAAACGGAAAGCACGTTGGCTGGAAAATACCCCGTCCCCAAATACAATAAAGTCTGCTGCTGTGAAAAGAAGCTCTCACGCGATGCAACAACAAACTACACGCTAGCCAGTCGGAACGCATTTTCTTGTTGTTGTACCGAACATCTTAATGTGTTTTTTTAAAAGCCTGATTAAATGCATTTAGCTAAGTTAACGATGAGGGCCGCATGGAGAGCCACGCTGCTGCTCCGGCTGATATTTAACGACCAAAACAAGTCTACAGAGCCGAGTTTTACCCAGCAATAACTCGGCAGTGCGCGAGGAAACGTCTTCGGTGGAAGTGTGAAAGTTACCGAAAACAAAGGAGCGAAAAATAGCAAAGAAAATGCCAATTAAAACGGAGAAGAACTCACCCCCGGTCTCAACAAGATGGCGGGTACGGCGGAAAGAGAGAGCTCAGGCCCCCAGACTCCGCCTTGTGAAGCAGAATTCAGGCAGGCTGTTAAAGTGCCTGAGCGGAGAGTAAAGAAACTCTAATTACACAACAAACTCGGTGAAAAACGTTCTTCTCAAAGGGGTTCAAACCAACTTTATTCACTAGGCTTAATTATATCCAGCGAACCATAGTTCATATTTAAGCAATGAAGTTATTTACTGCCTTCCCTTTTTAAAATGTTAACATTAAAAAAATAATAATATTTTTTTTTATGTAAGTGCGTATATTTGCAACATGTTTTATTGGGAGTGTGGCTGTCACCCCAACTGTGATGATGACAGGGGAAAGCAAAAGCATTTTTTTATATTACACTGAGGTTACACTGAGGAAGTTATTTTAGTATTTTTTGTTAAATATGCTTCTAAAATGAAGAAGCTGTTTGCATGTGTGAAATCTAATGCGACAAAAACTGTAGTCAACAAGAACCCAGTGACATAGTTGTAACAACCTATATAAACTATACACGTTTATTAAAAATGATCAATTGAACTTTTGGAAATCACAAATATTTGACATTTTGTGGTGGTACCTGAAAATATTTTTTCCAAATGATCAAGTGATAAATTCGGCTCAATTGGTCTGTTTTCTATTCCTATCATTTCTCTTTAGGGGAAAAGGAGTCTGGGCTTCTATGGGTTAAGCAAAGACGGAAGCACCGAGCAGAGAGTGCTCTTGCCTTCTTGAGCTATTAGACCTTCCTCCGCGAGCTCAGCAGAATCGCCCCCCTGTCCTCTCCAGAGGAGCCAGCCCAGTCTTGTCAAAGCGCAGCGGTCTTGTGGAAGATGGCGCTAGCCGAATGGAAATCCTAATGACAGTCTCCAAATTTGCCTCTTTTTGTACCATGGTGAGTGCACGGCAGTCTTACACGGGCATTTTTGCGATCCCGAATCTGTGGCCGCGCTGTTATTAGCTATGCTAAAAGTGGAAATATACATTAAGGCAGGAGATTCTGCTGCCTATGCTAGCCAAGCAGTGTTCGTTATTTAGCGAAGCGAGTAGCCACCCACCGACTTATCTGTCCCGCTCTGCTCTTCTCTCCGTGTTTACGACGATTCACAGACACTCACTTGTGTTCAGTCGTTATTAACTCGTTGCTGAACAGCTTAGTTGGTTAATATTAATCACAATTCATGCGTGGACGGTGAAAGTGCACCTGCTGTAGATTCAAAGCTAACTTGCTAACGTGAAGCTAAACCTGTGTTTCAGCTTGCCAACACCTGGAACAGCTGGATTGGGGGTGCAGTCGCTTTGTGAAAACATTCGTCTCCTTTATGTTTGGGGAAACCATGAACATACATTTAAGTTATCGTGTTGGTCTTGACAAGCTATCGTATCTTATTAACGCAGACAATGACGACATTGTTTAACATTAGCTGCGTAGTTGTGCACCCGCTCCGGGTCCGTGTCCTCTCCGCAGACTGTTTCTGTCTACACATCAAATCACGGTTCGTTAGATCCCACTGAATAGTAGCAGGAGAATATTTGTGTCCACAAACGGCCACCGACTCATGTTCAAACTTGTTTTTTTGCCTCAATGCTGAAACACTCAGCTGTCATCCAGACCGAGTTTGACGTTGAACAGTCTCCTGGGATGAGTTTAATTACACCTTTACCGTTAAGGCCAAGATTGTGCATGCTTTTATCAACCCCATTGAGCACCAATTAAATGGCCTCTCTTCTTTTCATTTATATGTACAGTATATATTTATATTCTTGCTACACTGGTCTTGGAAATGTCAAGCCTCTGGAATTTGATGTGGTAAATGCATACTTGTTGAGTTCAGGTGAAGTGCTGGGTTTATATGCTTTATCTGTGCCTATACAGGGCGCCAATGCCTCTGCTCTGGAGAAAGAGATTGGATCTGAGCAGTTTCCGGTCAACGAGCACTACTTTGGGCTGGTCAACGTAAGTCACTGATGATGCAGATTTAGTATGAGGGAGAATCATATCAACGTAGTCGACTCGGTGCAAATGTCTTAATTATGTATGAAATGATGCTGTGATTGCAATTTAACTGCTGACATGGATGTGAAGTAAAGTGATATGGCTAGCTGTGTAGTAACACTTTCTAAAACATTTAATATGAATATGATTCCATTCCTCACATTTGTGAGAACTTTAAGTAGTCATCAAGAAGTTCCCATAATTAGGGATATCACATCTACAGACTAATCTTGCTCTCACAAACTGTGGGGACACATGTCATAAAACCATGTTTATTGAACTCAAAGAGATTTATGGTTAATATATTTCTGTTTACCAGATTATCAGGCATTACCGTCCCCCCTCTTAGTCTCAAGAGAATTTACTTCAAGTCTAGTTTGACTAGGCTTTTAGTTTTTATTGTTTCGTTTGATAATATACGTCTGTTCACCTGTGTGATTTTTGTTTAAGTTTGGGAACACCTGCTACTGCAACTCGGTGCTGCAGGCTCTGTACTTTTGCCGACCGTTCCGGGAGAAAATCCTGGCGTACCGCAGCCAGCCTCGGCGGAAGGAGAACCTGCTCACCTGCCTGGCTGACCTGTTCCACAGTATTGCCAACCAGAAGAGGAAAGTGGGCGTCATACCACCAAAAAAGTTCATCACCCGGCTACGAAAGGAGAACGGTGAGCGGCGAACGCTCTGCTTGGTCAGAAAAGCCATGGCGGTGAGGTCGACCCCGTGGAAGCTCTGAAGTATCTCTGCCTTTTTTCCCCAGAGCTGTTTGACAACTACATGCAGCAGGATGCTCATGAGTTCCTGAACTACTTGCTCAACACCATTGCTGACCTCCTCCAGGAAGAGAGGAAGCAGGACAAGACGAACGGCCGCCTTGCCAACGGCACGTTGGACTCGCAGAACAACAACAGCAATGCTACGCCCGCCCCCACCTGGGTCCACGAGATCTTCCAAGGCACTTTGACCAATGAGACCCGCTGCCTCACCTGTGAAACGGTGAGTTCTCTATCCAGTTGAAACATCGTGCTTCTGGCTCTGGGGCTACAAGTCTGTCAGTGCTAGCAATGTTTTTTTTTTTTTAAATGAAGGGGGGGGGGAAGTGTGATATACACAATATGGGTCAAAAATGTTCTGCCAGACAGACAATAATGTAATCAAAGAGATGAAATAACTTTTCAGTATCATTTCATACTAAACAATCTGGTGTGTTTGCTGTTGTTTTACTAACATGTTCATTTCCTCTCCAGATAAGCAGCAAAGATGAGGACTTTCTGGACCTCTCAGTGGATGTAGAACAGAATACCTCCATCACACACTGCCTCAGGTAGAGCAGCACTGTTCTGAGTTGTATGGAGATTTTTCATTTGTTTTGTTCAATTTTTGTTTTAACCAGAAAAAAAGTATATTTCCATATCTGAGATTCTTTCAATGTTCATTGTTTGTACGGTGCAGGTTAAAAAACAGAAAACTAGGATTTCTTTTAGCTTTCTCTGTTTGTTTTGATGACCTCGAGGCTCTCGTTTTAGTAAAGGACAAACCAGATAAATAAGGATTTTTGAAAGAAATTATGACTTTGACATGATTCATTTGTATATGAGATTCATATTGTTTCTTTTTTCTCTTTTCTTCTGTCAGAGGATTCAGTAACACAGAGACACTGTGCAGTGAGTATAAATACTACTGTGAAGAATGTAGAAGCAAGCAGGAGGCACACAAGAGGTCAGTGAAAGCTTTAGCTCCTCCTCAGGGCTATGCAAATACTTTTTCTTCTTAAGGGGGACATTTACACCCTTTTTGAACCCTTAAATACAGGATGCGTGTAAAGAAGCTGCCAATGATCCTGGCTCTGCACCTGAAGCGCTTTAAGTACATGGAGCAGCTGCAGCGCTACACCAAGCTGTCCTATCGCGTTGTCTTCCCCCTGGAGCTCCGCCTCTTCAACACGTCCGGCGACGCCACCAATCCTGAGAGGTTATACGACCTGGTGGCCGTAGTTGTGCATTGTGGGAGGTGCGTATGTGCATTAAAGGCTCATTTTAACCTCTTAAAAGTAAAGTGAAATCCAAGTTCTTCTGGAGAAAAGATGGGTCCCCCTCTGTCGTCGTTTTACTTTCTGTCAGCGCTGCTCTGTACCAGCGTTAGTTAATATATCTGTTTATCCAAGGAGTTTCCCTGCTTTCCAGTGTGTCCGTGCTGAACAGAATTCCTGCCCACCTCAGCCATGAAACAAACAATAAATCAGAGAAAATGTTTTTAAAAGTCAGCCCTCACTGGAGTGGAGGAAGTGAGCTGGGAGTCCCCAGAATGGAAATTATATTTTTATTCTCTTCCATTTCCCCAAATTAAGTAAGATGGTTTGCGGGCAACAAGCAGCTGGAATTTACAGCAAACGGTACGCTGTGTGTTTCAAGCTGGAGGGAGACTTCTATGGGTCCATTTGCAACCATAACAGGGCCACTCAAAATGTAGTAGTCGCTCGTTTGAAGACGAAAACAACTGACCGAGAGGAGAACAAATGCACTGTGCAACAGCCATTTTATGAGTCTTCTCTTATGCTTCAGTTTTTATACAGACAGTGGTTGTTACATCAAATTTACTGACTATTAATCTATTAGTTGTTAAGCTTCTGAATTGCTTCTGTAAATGAAAGTGATCTTGATTATGTTAAATCTTGTTTCTAATCCTCTCTGCTAAACTGTTGGACATATAAAGGCGTTGTTGGACTGAACGGATTACATTGGGTTATTTTGACTTTGTGAAACCAACACCATGCTTCTTTGCCTCATTTCAGTGGTCCAAACAGGGGTCACTACATTGCCATTGTGAAAAGTCATGACTTCTGGCTGCTGTTTGATGACGACATTGTAGAGGTGAGCGAGTTGGTGTTTTATTGTCTGCCTTTTTTTTTCCACAACCCTTTTATTTCTTCAGACCTCCCTTTCTAACGTCACCTCGTGTCTTCTTTCTGCCCGTTTAGAAAATCGATGCGCAGGCCATAGAAGAATTCTACGGCCTCACTTCCGAAATCTCTAAGAACTCTGAGTCAGGCTACATCCTGTTTTACCAGTCCAGAGACTAAACGTGGACCCGAGCGCTTCGCCACATAAACCCGGAGAGACGCTCTGCCCCGTCTCTGTGGGGAGCAGCAGACTGACCACACACCACAGCCGCCCGCACGGTGTCACACCTGCCCGCACAGCTGGAATCCATACCTGTGCTTTAATGCAGTCCGCGCTGCAGCTCAGCTGTGGAAGTCCCCCCCCCCCCCCCCCCCCCCCCCCCCCTCTGACATACCAGCCCACCCTGCCGGCCTCCATGTCCTCTCTGTCCCCTCATCCGCCGCTGCTGCTGCCAGAACGATGAGACCATGATGAATGAAATTGTGTCCAGATTGTTTTTAGAAAAAGAATTAATGAGGGTTGTACAGATGTCGACGGGTTGTATGAGTGGTGTTATAGTTTCTGCCTGGGGTGTGGGGTGAATGGGTATTTAATTCATATGATGTAATGCTGGCCAGGAGTCTTCACCTCCCACAGCGCTAACTAAACATGGAAGAAGTTTTTTTGGCCATGGATGTAAAGAGGGACGGACGGGAGGAGGGTGTCCCACACGTAGGGCACCCTGGGCTGTGTATTTCTACAGTGTACAGAATGGTATTTGTATAAATATTACAAAAAAGATACTATTATCATTGGAAAATTGTTAGAGCTTGAGAAGATGTATTAACACTATGGTGCACTTTTGATACTGTTTTGTAGGTGTCGGCAAGCTTAATGTGGGGGGTTTGCTTGAAAAAGGCCTGTTGTGAAGCGATCGTTTTCTGTTTTAAAGAAAAAGAAATAAAGCCAGTGAGACTGATGGAGGCCGCCTGCTCCTTGCTGAGTCCCACAGGTGCACCGATGACTCATAGGGACTCGCAGTCGCCCCTCGGCGGTGAGCTGAGGTTTTCCTGCTTTCCCACTGCAACAGGAGCTATTTATAATCCACCAGGACCCCAAAAGGCAGGTGCTGTGGAAAAACTGCTGTTGTCACTGATATGCATATCAGTCAAGCCATCAGCTGGTTGGAGCGCGACGCTCGAAATGTGACGGAAAAGATGGAGGAAGAGGTAATAAAGGAGGGGAGGGGGGGTGGTGGTGGCAGCATCAGGGTTGCTGTTAATAGCACAGACAGGACCAGAATAGCTGAGCTCTGCCGGAAGGAAGCGGGCTTCTGCATTGGGAATCCGTAGAACTGGAGTCAGGACGCGCAAAAAAACACAAAACCAAACGTACAATGCCAACAAGAAAAGGTGGTGGTGCGTTCACGTGATCCGCAACAGGAGTGATTAATAACAGAAAAAACGTGCAGGCACCTGGGAATTAAAGCAACCTGTCTGTAACAGCACAGACCAGCAGCCTCTGTCGGTCTGGCCCCTTCTGGGACTCCTCCTTCATCCTCGCTCCCCCCCTCCACACACACACACACACACACACACACGCGCGCGCTCGCTCGCATCCCTCTCCTCCCTTTGGCCGCTGCTCCACATCCTGCACACCCGCAGTCCACGGCGATGCGCCGTTAACGGCAGAGCCGCCGCGCTGCTCCTTCCATCCGCCGCTCCCTCCACCACCGGACCCCCACCACCGGACCCCCACCACCAGAGCCCCCCCCACCCCCACCCCCCTCCCGGAGCTGCGTCTCCGCCCGCTGGCGCTGCTGAAATCCGCACCACTGAAATGGAGACACAAGAGCATCGCTCTTCCATCTAGACGGGGGGAGTCTCACCTCACGCAGTCACGGTAGGTCTGATGGATGCGGAGCGGGACTGTCGAGCATCCTTTGCAGGAGTGGAGAAATGTAGTCTGTGTTTAGGAGCCCGGGAGTGTGTGCAGGTGCGCGGAGCAGACCCCCGTGTCTCCATGACGGGTGCGGTATCTCCTGCCTCTTGTTCTCTTGCAGCTTGCGTAAATTGCCGCCATCGCCGTGGGCTTTCGGAACGCTCTCGTTGCCCGAGGGGTTGCAATCGAGAGAAGACTGCTGGGGGTTTTTTTTCGCCCCTTGCATGCCTTTTGTTATTTCATTTTCAGAACCGAGACATTTGCATGCAGTCTAATGGGCCCCTGTTACAAAAGAAAAAAAACTGTAGCTTTCACTCGGCGAAAATTCCCAAAGGGAAATGCAGTAGCTGTTCACAGCCTAAAGCAGCAATAAAACTGGACGTTTATCAGGCAGCTTAGAGCTGAATGGTTCAAAATCTGCTCAAATCAAAGAGGTGAATGCTGGTGTAGCGGGAAGCTGCCGTTTGAAGGGGCTCCTCAGCACCGTAAAGGTTCCTGCTCCTGCAGAAGGTGCTCGCAGGCCGAGAGGACAGAAAGTTCCACAGGCAGCAGACCGCCGGCTCTGTGCTGAACGGTGACCGCTCAAAAAGGCTCAGTGGAATACACAGAAGGGGGGGAAAACCATGTTTTTGTTTCATCTGTGAAACGTGGGCCTCCAGACTGACCCTGTGTGTTTGTGTGTGACCGTTACAGACGGGGGGCACAATGAGCGAGGAGCCACCGGTCACCCCCGACTGGCTGAGCCCTGACCCCACGGCGTGGGCCAGCGGGGGCGGGGGCCCCACGGACAACGGCACCGGCTTGGGGACGTTCCCGTCCGGGGACCCGCTGGCCCCCGGCCGGCTGCCGCTGCTGGTCAACCCCTGGGACATCGTGCTGTGCTCGTCCGGGACGCTGATAGCCTGCGAGAACGCGCTGGTGGTGCTGGTCATCTGGCAGAACCCGGCGCTCCGGGCCCCCATGTTCCTGCTGATCGGCAGCCTGGCCCTGGCCGACCTGCTGGCCGGCCTGGGCCTGGTGCTCCACTTCACCTGTGCCTACCTGCTCCGCTCCGACTCGGCCCAGCTGCTGACCGTGGGCCTGGTGGTGGCCTCCTTCTCGGCCTCCGTCTTCAGCCTGCTGGCCATCACCATCGACCGCTACCTGTCGCTCTACTACGCCCTGACCTACAACTCGGAGCGGACGGCGGCCTTCACCTACACCATGCTGGTGCTGCTGTGGGGCCTGTCGCTGTGTCTGGGCCTGCTGCCCGTCACCGGGGTCAACTGCCTGGCGGAGGAGGCCACGTGCAGCGTGGTGCGGCCGCTGACCAAGAACAACGTGGCCGTGCTGTCCGTCTCCTTCCTGCTGCTCTTCGGCCTCATGCTGCAGCTCTACGTGCAGATCTGCAAGATCGTGATGCGCCACGCCCACCAGATCGCGCTGCAGCACCACTTCCTGGCCGCCTCGCCGCACTACGTCACCACGCGGAAGGGCGTGTCCACGCTGGCCATCATCCTGGGCACCTTCGCCGCCTGCTGGATGCCCTTCACCGTCTACTCGCTGATCGCCGACTACACCTACCCGCCGCTCTACACCTACGCCACGCTGGTGCCCGCCACCTACAACTCCGTCATCAACCCCGTCATCTACGCCTTCCGGAACCAGGAGATCCAGAAGGCGCTGTGGCTGGTGTGCTGCGGCTGCGTGCCGGCCGGCGTGGCCCACCGCGCACGGACGCCCAGCGACGTCTGAGCCCGCAGACCCGGGCGGGGGGGGCGGGCGGAGGGGGGGGCTGTGCTACTGCCCACAGAGAGCAGCAGGACGAGGTCAAGGGGCACGGGCCTCCTGGCAGAGGCAGTTTGGATTTTTACCAGCTGACCACACTGAGGGACGGATGGAGCTTCTTGTTTTTTTTTCTACTGATGACAGGGCAGAGGTACCTGCTGTCTCCCCCCCACCCATCCACCCCCCCCCCCCCCACACCCATCCACCCACACACCCCCTGGCCGGTAGCCGGCCCCCTCCCGGCCAGCTCGCGCCACGCCCTTCCTCAGTGCATCACATGTGACGGGCAGAGGCGTGCACGGACGGGGCGCGTGCGCGGAACGGCGCCGGAGCTTCCGGCTGACACGTGCTGGCTCTCCTTTAGATAAGGGGATGAGTCGTTCGCGTGTGCTCG